CTGGAATGTGTGGAGAGGAGGGCAACCAAGATGATCAAGGATCTGGAAACCAAGGCTTATGACCTGAATGTACTCAATTGAATCTTTTATCAAAGAAATGGTTCTCCAACATTACTGCGCCTACAGAAGGGGAGAGCGGGATTGTGTACAGTATTCCAAGTGGGAATCCACCACGGGATACAACTTAATAAAAAGTATAAATTATCAGAAAGACAACTAAAATTTTGCGGGGGGGGGGTGTAAACTGTAGCATCTCATGGAATTTTACCAACAATGGGTGGTATTCAAAAGATACTTGTGTGCAACAATTACTGTTAGTGCAAGGAGACTTCCCCCCCTTCTCTCTGCCACATAACCACACCATCCCGAAATCTGCTCCGGAGAGTTGGAGAAAGCCCCAGTACAGATTATGGGGGCTTGTGGGGCCGAGAGGGGGAGAATATTCTTTTGCAGAAGTAGAAATCTTTGTGCTGATGCAACTTTAGCCTTAACCAGGGCTTTTTTTCCAGCCGGAACTCACTGGAACTCGGTTCTGGGTGGGTACCATTGCCACTATAAGAGAACAAGGGAGGCGTTCATGGTGAGTTCTGGCACCTGTTTTTCATCTAGAAAAATAACACTGGCCTTAATGCCATGTTGAATGCCACCCAGTGTATTTTAGTGCTTGTGATGGGTCTTAAGCAATAAATTATCAATGATCAGATGTCAGAAACTTTGAAACAACATGGGACAAAGGAGCTATCCAGGTCAGGAGGTGGACGTCCATTCCAAAATTCCGTGTCTGTAAATCTCATTGGGGAAAAACTTGATAGGAATTATTTTGAGATGTTCTAACAAGTAGATATATTAATGGGAGAATCTGTAAGCTACATTGGCAGATTCTTCCCTCAAATGCTTACTAAGAATTAACGACACAATTTACCATACAACAATACTCCCATAACACCCCTGATTTTTCACTACATTTCTCTTCTAACACCAATTTATATGCATGATGACGCGTGCATCATACTGACAGCACTTCTCATATAACCCATGGGAAAGGATGCTAAATGTTGATCGTTCCCAAATATTGATCAACTACAATTAATGTTAATAGCTTCTCTTTTTTTAACAGTTCACAGTGCTGGACAGCTTGCATAATCTGTTACTGATACAAACAGTAGGGAGAAATTATTTCTGCAGTTCTTGACTGCTAACTAGCATAGTTATTTATTTATTTATTTGTTGTTTGTATAGGACTATCAATGTGGATGGCACAAAAAAGCCAGGTCTCTGACTTGAGGGAAGATTATTGTTTTGAATGAAGTCTTCACAATGCAACTTTACAGCACAAACATACACAACAGTGCTGAAATATGGTGCAGAAGCTTCGGCGCCCTTGAAAACCACTAATGATCTTTAAGAAATTTGTTACCATATAAAGTAACTTGTAAAATTTAAGATAATGAATAAACACATGTTATATCTTTATGACTAATCAAGTACCCTAGTAAGGCTAGATGAAGGCAAAGAGGGGGAAGTTTCAATAACCTGGGTATTTATATGTGGATAAACAAAGTAGGGGACGCAGGTGGCGCTGTGGGTTAAACCACAGAGCCTAGGACTTGCCGATCAGAAAGTCGGTGGTTCAAATCCCCACAATGGGGTGAGCTCCTGTTGTTCGGTCCCTGCTCCTGCCAACCTAGCAGTTCAAAAGCACGTCAAAGTAGATAAATAGGTACCGCTCCGGTGGGAAGGTAAATGGCATTTCTGTGCGCTGCTCTGGTTCGCCAGAAGCAGCTTAGTCATGCTGGCCACATGACCTGGAAGCTGTAAGCCAGTAAAGCAAGGTGGCCAGTAAAGCAAGGTGAGCACCGCAACCCCAGAGTTGGCCATGACTGGACTTAATGGTCAGGGGTCCCTTTACCTTTAAACAAAGGAGGGAATTGAAGGAAGACCACATGGTCTTTATAGAAGATCTTACCCCTTAATTTTTTATGTGAAACATAAAAGGTGAGCCTAGTTTTATATTGCCCAATTCTGTGCATGCTGTAAGTTGTTCTGCATTCCACGAGATTAACTCATGAGTAAGTGTTCAAAGGACTAAAGCCTGAGGTTGCAATCTTGCAGTCACTTCTTTTTTTACTCTAAAGTCTACTGAGCTCAGTAGGGTTGATTCACCAACAGATATATATAGAGTTACACTATTAGCTGCCCAGAACATAATAATCACCATCACTTGTTAACAGGAAGAAACCAACTTTGGTCAGAAGAAATCAAAAACACCAATAACTCTCCAATCTGAAACATACTGGGTTGTATCCAGTGGCATATTTGTGTTAGCAAAAAAGAATTTCCATTTGTACAAGGCAGCGAGATTTATTTTCACTGGTCCAACCTATCCATTTCAGCACTGCCCCTGAGGGTTGTGGGACCCTCTAGATTAGTATGGAACACAACTCAGAGGGCTGAAGAAGGTATGCTGTTGTCATCTGTCTGCAAGGCAGGGGGTAGGTAGAGGGCTGGCAAAAATAGGAAACTCACCTTGTTTAAACTGAAATGCTTTCCGCTAGCGCAAAAACTACTGGATACAACATGGGATATCCTTTAAAATCAGAACAGAAGAGCAGTCCTGCTGGATCAGACCAAATGCCTTTCTAGTCCTTCATTCTGTACCATCAGTGTCCAGCCAGATGCCTATGAGAAGCCTGAAAGCAGGACATGAGTACAGGAGCATCCACTCGTGTTCCCCAGCAATTGGGATTAAGATGCCTAGTGACTCTGGTATTGGAAGCAATATGCAGCCTCCATGACTACTAACCACTGATAGGCTTAGCTCATGAAGTGTCTAGTTCCCTTTTCAAGGCATCTAAATTAGTGACCATCACTACACCTTGTGGTAATAAATCCATCATGTAGCGATGATGCACAGTTTGACATTGTCTATCCTGAATCTCCCAGCATTCAGCTTCATTAGATAATCCCAGGTTCTAATGCTACAAAAGAAGAAAAACTACTGTGTGTGTGTGTGTGTGTGTGTGTGCCTCTCAATTCCCTCAACACATTGCACATTGGGGTGATTTCTACACTACAATCCCAAGATCCATTTTCGGTTCAGTAGGTGTCTGTCCCACATCTTCTACAGTGGAGACAGACATGCAGAATTCATTGAGTTCCTCTCCTGATCTTCTTTAGCACATCTTTCAGGGCAGCAGTAGGACATATCACACATTGATTTATTCCATGTAGCCCGATCCCATGCATGTTTTCTCTGAAGTAAATCCTCCCCCCTCCATTCAGTTGGATTTACTCCTGGGTAAGTGTGCAAAGGATTGTAGCCCTTGGTTTACCAAATCTTGAGAACAAATCCCATAGTTTTCAGTTGGATTTATTTCAGAGCAAACAAGCTGTCACACAACAAACCATAAAAACAAATCTCAAAGACGAATATTCTATTGCGAAATAATCATCCAGAACTCCTCCTGACCATATAAACAGCGAAATATACTGTTGCTTGGAATAGCCGTGAAAAATTACCAAGCAAAAGGTGGCAGCAGTGAGTTTCTTTGAGATCTGATTTCACTAGCAGTTATTAATGCAGAATTTACACCATCCATATGAAGAGAGGATATTTTGGAAATTCACCTCCGTAGAGAAAGATGCTTGCCAACTGCTGTTTGGCGTGAGATCATTTAGGCATTCTTTGAATTCAAGTTGGAATATAGATTTGGGCGTTAAAATGATTATTTCTTTATTCCAACCCTCTGTATAGTGTACCTGGAACCTGAAGAGTTTTCATACTGAGGAGTTGGCTCACCTGGATTTTAAACGGAACATGAAGAAATCTACCAGGGAATCCTAAAATAATGTCCATTTTAGAAACATTCCTGCCCTGTGTAGTTTTATATATGCAGTGTGTGGGTTTTTTTTTAAAAAAAAAAAACAAAACCCTACAAATCATCCTTCTGACTTGTTCTGCGGTGACTTTGACACCCCACAAATTTGCCTTAATGTAACCAAGGAGTTAAAATCCGCCCCGCTGCCATTTTCCTCATCGTCTTTGCCAGTCCTGTCAGGAAAAGCGCGCGCGTGTGTATGTATGTGTTTCCCCCCATTTCAGGATGGGGCTTTGCGACAACGTGGGAAGGAGTCCGCGAGCTACAAAAGGAACAAGGCAGCCCTTTCAGAGCTTTCCCCCCTTTTCGGCAGAGCCGGAGCTTGAATAAACCCTCTTACAGCTGTGCGAGGCAGCAGCTGAGGGCTGAACCGCCGCCTCCCATGTCAGCGCCTGCCAAACCCTGACTGACTGAACTCTCCGCGCGAGGAGGGACGGCGACTTTGGCCGAGGGGAATTCAAGGGCATTGGCCACGCAGCCTTTCCCGCAGGAGCAATCCTGAGCCGCCGCCGTCGCTCTCTCCGGCGAGCCCGCCTCCCGCCCGCCACCAGCACCTGCGAGCCTGACCTCGGAAGGGTCACCCCCCTCCGTCTCCGGCTTCGCGCCTCCCTCCCTTCTCCCCCAGCAGCTGCTCGACTTCGCCGCTCCCCGAGGGGGAGATGGCAGCCGCTCCCTCACTTTCTCCTTAGCCCAAGCGCGCCCCAATGCCCGCCGGAGGATGGGGTGAGGCGGCGCGCGAGGAGAGGCCAAGCGGGGCGGCGGGGAGGGCGGCCGTGCGCAGGGGGTGCGCTTCTTTCGGCCGCCGATTCAGGAGTCCGTTCTGAGGGCAACTTTCCGCCGCCGCGGGGAAGCCTCTCCGAGCGGAGGAGAAGCGAGGTCACCCTCGCGCCACAGCAGAAGCCTCGGCTTCTTTAGCCCGGACGGGGCAACAACGCGGGGACGCTCCTTCGCGCGCTTTTTCCTCCTCCTCCTCTTCGCCAGGCGCAGGTGGGCGGCGTTTCGCTGAGGGAGAGAGAGAAAAGAGCGCAGCCGCCTTGCTCGCTTTCCCGCCTGCCCGCCCCAGCCCGGCCTCTGGAGCAGCGGCGGCGGCGGCGGCGGCACCAGGCGCGCGCGCTCCTGCTAGCGAAGGGAGGAGAAGGGAGCGCGGCGGCGGCGGCGGCGGCGGCAGCTGTCACAGTATCTTCTCCAGCGGCGGAAGGTTGCCAAGCTGAGGTGGCCGCACTACAGAGAGAGCGCCGCTGCCGAGACCGTGGAGAGAGGAAACGGGAGGTGGTGCTGAGGGGGGAGAGAGAGAGCGAGCGAGAGAGAGCCAGACGTCGAGCTTCTTCTCCCTCTGACAGAAGCGAGAGCGAGCGGGAGAGGCAGAGAGAGAGAGAGAGAGGCTGCCTCTCGGAGCCACGCAGTGTATGAAGAAGGAGCCCGCCTCGGAGCCCTCCGCGAAAGAGGGAGGCGGCGGGAAGGGCGACGGCGGCGACGGCCAGGCAGGATGCTGCAATTGGGCAAGGTCAGGACCTTGCACTGAAGAAGCCCGCGGGGCGCCGCAGCCACCTCCCTCCTCCCCGCCTTGAGGATTTGCCTTTTGTTGTTGGTATATGCTCGGGAAACAGCAAGCAGGGGCGACGGCGTTGGGTGAGTCGGGCCATGGCCATCATGGATGGTGCCCAGGTCTCTCCCCCCCCCCTTTACCTCCCCCCTTCCCCCTGTGCGGAGAGGGGCTGCTGCCTCTGGGTGGAGGAGGGGCCCGCACTGCAAAGGTCTCCCCCTCCCTTCCCTCCCCCTCTTTGTGTTCAGATGGGGTGTCCTCGATTGCCTGGGATTTATTTATTTTTAAAAAAACACACCACCACCCCAAAACGCGCCGTGTTTATGATCCTTTTCCTTCTGGAGAGAGAGGGCGAGCCGGCAAAGGTGGGCTATTTCTGCCTGCCTGCCTGGCCGTCGCTTTCCCCACCCCCTTCCTTCCTCGGCTCCTCGATGGCTTATGTAGGGCATCGGCAGCGACTCGCCTTCCCCGCCGCCCTGCAAGAAGACACTCGTTAGAGCAGGGAAGTCGCCAAGATCTGCCGGGGAAGGGGGCGAAGGAGGCGAGCGGGGAAGATGGGAAATAGACCCCTCGCTTCCATTTAGTCTCGCACTGCTGTGGACCATGATTTTCGTGGCTTGTGTGTGTGTGCGCGCGCGCTCTCGCGGCGGCGCGCGCAGAATCCACTGGAAATACTTAGTCATACATCCATATCTGCTGGTGGTTCTGCGTTGCAAAGAGAGGGGCGACCCTCCCCCTCCTCCCCCCACCCCCATTTCGTTATCTTTTAGGGGCCCGGAATAGTGCGATGCTGCTACTTGGCTGCTTAGGCAGATGCGTCTCTCCACGTTGGAAGAGGATTGGGGTGGCGGCGGCGGCGGTGGTTCCTTTTTGTTTAGCATCCTTGTCTGCCAAAGGGCTTTCTTGAGATTTGGCTGATTTATAATTAATGGCTGAAAGGAAAGATGCCTCTCTCGCTCGATCCATTTCCTCCCCCTGTGCTGGTGCGTAATGTGCTTGCATCGATCGCTTCTAACCTAGCCTCCTCGGCGAGGCGAGTCGCTACAGAGGAGGTGCAGCAGACGCGAGACAGTAAATGGTGGTGCACAGATTCAGCTTTTGCTGGGAATGTTGCGGGTGGGGAGCTTCCCCCGAAAGGGTTGATTTAGAAGCTGGGCAAAGTTTGTGTGTGTGAGAGAGAGATATCCCCTGCGAAGAGTGTCCTGCCCATCTCTCTTGCCCATACAGCCGTTTAATGCACGCTTTCATTGCAAAGGGCGTGACTTCTTTTGGTGGCCAAATGTGCGGGCAACCTTAGCAGTTAATCTCTTCCAGGAAACTTAGCAGTATCTTACTATAGATGATTGGGAAAAGATTGATAGGCCTGTTACGAAACGGCCAGCTATTAACTTTTATGAACTGCGGGGGTTGGTATTTACAAATACTTCCGAAGACAGCATCGGGGGAAGCGTATGGACAGCATCGAGGGAAGTGAAACTTTTAGACCTCGTTCATGATCTGCATACATCATATAAATAAATGATGTGTGTGACGTAATGCAGCTTGGTGCAGATCTAATTCTTAGCAAGACGTACATTGTTGTAGGGAACTTCCACTGGCAAGCAAGAATACAATGCAACCCATGAGGAACAAAAGATTTTATCGGTGTGAAGGGTGAAAATATCTTCTAGGCAACGTTTTTAGTAGAAAGGAAGGTTCACAGTCATGCCCCAACTACTTTCTAACAGCTCTGTGCAGAGAATATAGGGGTTGATTGGTTGTTTGCAGTTGTGGTGAGAGACTGTCTGGGAGGATGGATGCATTTCGGATTTCTCCGAAATTAGGTTAGCGCCTTTATACAATTTATAGTCTCCTTGCAGGCTCTTGAGTCCCCTAATGGTTTTTGGGAACATGCATGGATCTTCTTAGCTGATTTGCCAAATTGGAAAGCATGTGATGTTTGTAGTAAATCATCTAAGCCTTTGTAACTGATTCTTTGGACATTTGGGGCACAATAGTTCTGTTCTCTAAGGTTGGCTGAATTCACATTTCCCCGGTTTTCAATTCTTACTACTCTAAAATCTGCACATTCGAAAGCGAGCTTTGTATAGATTAAGCACACTCAATAGGTCTAATCAACAGCCTGAACCTGTTATACTTGAGGAACAGTTTGCTATCATAACTGCTGCAGTAGAGAAACATGAGATTCCATCTTGATCGAGTCTTCTAGAGGTGGTGTTTTTGCAGTCTGTTATATAAGAGAGGCTTTGAAAATGAAAAAGTGGACTGTGCTGTGTACACTTGCCAAAGGAAAACGCTCTTGAAAGCTGCAGGTAGTCAGGGTGGGTTTGTTTTGTTTTGTTTTTAATCCTGTGAACATACTAAGTTGCATTCTTCACAGTAGGTTATAAAGTACTCAGATCTAGAGAAGCGTGTCACAGTAGATGCAGCTACTGTATCTGAATTTCCGATGTTGCTAAATGGATGAATCCTTATTTTTATTCATAACACTGTCTTATGCTGTATACAGCTGCAGAGGACTGTAATGTTATTTATAAATAGCTGTATGATTTTTATTTCAACAGATTGCTTTGAATCATGACAATTATCTTGATTTCTGCCAACTGTAAAAGTAACTTGTTTATGATAAAGTATGAATGAAATATCAAATGATGCTGGGGAACATAGCCCAGGTTATATTTAAGTTGTTTTACAAGTACTCTTTAAATTATGGATCTGTATCCATTATTGAAAAGGAGAGAACTTGAGCTGCAATCCTGTATACACTTACCTGAAAGTAAACACCACTGGACACATAGGGAATTACTTATGAGTAGACATACAGAGGATTGTGCTGTCAGCATTGCCCTTGGGGGTTCATTCTCATGCTGCATCTCAGATCTTCTTTTCCTCCTCCTCCTCCTCCTCCTCCTCCTCGTAATATTATAGCAGTGCATCATTTGTAAGAAGTTCCCAAAGGTTTATTTTAAAAACGAAAAATATACATTTTCAACAGCTATAGAAGCAAATGCTGCCAAAGAAAGAAAGCAAATGTGCCTGCAAAGCATTTCAGAAAATGGTTTGGCTCCTTTCCATTCTGGGAATAATTCGTTTTGAATTAACAGAGTGCTTGTAACTAAAAGCGTCAGCACTGCTCGGAAGTAACATACTGAATGAGCTGCATTTCTCAGAGGTGCAAGAAGAATAAGGTGAGTGGAAGTGAGGTCAAACCATCTTTCAAGAGCATTTCTATGCTTTTCATGTAAAAGGTTTTAATGGGGAAGCAACAGATCTAGCTCCCTTGAATAAGAAATGGAAAATCTGAACTGAAGGTTGACTGGGCTTGGATAGCATTTACTTCCCAACTTGCAGTTCAGTCCTAAACACTGGTTCAAAACAACCCCATTGATTTAAGTGGAAAGGGTGTCTGTGTTGAAATTTTGGTGTGAAATCGATGCATCATTGTTAATAGCTCATTACAGTATGTTTTACAAGTTGCACCTCTCACGCACATGTACGCTGGGTATGGGGTGGGTTTACTCACTTCCAATTGCAGGAAAGCAGCCAGAGGAGGTAGCCCTAAGGAATGTACCACCCTCTCATATATCATCTGTACCATGTGATAAAAGTTGCACCAGTTCAGTATTTACTCAGCCCTCAAGCAAGCAAACCCACCCAATCTGGGATAGCTAAGGGAATTTGTTAGCCTCCAGCGACTCAAACTGGTTCTTGACAGATGCTAGAACTGTATTCATGAATGTCTTGGGGGTTCCTGTAGCATTTAAGCCAGAGCTTTTTTTTTTTTAAAAAAAAAGGTTGGAACTCACCCCCAGCAATGTGGCCAACATGCAAGAGGAGCTGTTGTGGGTGCCTACTGGGTTGTGCTCATGACATTGCACCCACACCCACTGTGTGCAATCCTGTGGCCTATGGGAGGTGTCCCAGGGGACATAGATCAGACCCATCCTCCATTGTTGCAAATAGTTGTGAGATCCTGAGAAAGAGATCCAATGTTGGGGGCTCCATACCACTCTGCTATTGGCTCCTCTGGTGCCCAGGCCCAGTCATAACTGGAGCACCAAAGTCAGTAGGGCTTTGCAGGAAGTGGCTTTGATCCAAAGCTGTCCCAGTTCCCCTGGCATGCCCCCAAACCACGGAGCTATTTAGTAATGCTGATGCAAAATTACCAGTCCCTGATTTTGCATTCTTCATCCACTTGCATTTTTCTAAGTTCTTCTGGCAGTCAACCAAATGGGATTTTACCCATTCCATTTTCATAGACAGAACCACAACCTGGAAACTAGCCAGGTCAAATATATTCTTATGGGTTCTGGTTTGTCAATGAAAATACCATTACATCCTGGCCTTTCCAGTCTCTTTTTTCCCCTCCCACCACTTTGCTATCAATTTCTGTGTAGGGCAACTAAATAGACTGCACTGCAACACTGTATGTTTCAGAGTTTCCATAGCTGGTTGTCCACCCTGACAGCAGCACTCTTCCAGGGCAATCCCTCTGATACAGTCTGATGCAACTAAATGTAAAACGGGAGGGGGGTGTCTTCAATTATCTCCTCTACATAAATAGTTACAGAAGTGTAGAGCATAAAAGTACATTATGGCAATGTCCATCCACACTTTGCTGAAATTGCTATAATCGAGCTGATCTTAAGTTAACGCTAGGCACATCTGCTAATTAGTTTCATTCTGAAATTTGATAATTGCTATCTCAGGATGCTATTTTGAGTCTTGTAGAGGTCAGTCTGCAGGGTTCCCAAGCTGTCGCTGCTGTGTCAGGATAGTACCGTGGTAGTGCTAAGAGGGAGCCACTCCCATTGTCCTGTGGAAATACATTTTACATTAAAAATCTCTGCTCACATTAAAATAAAGCAATAGAAACCAGGTAAGAAAATAAAGCCAAAGCCCATTCACTAAGAAATTGCAGGAAAGTCTTAACATTCTAGCAAGGGATTGTTCTTGTCTGTTTTCTAAAGGCAGAGAAAAATGGACAAATCCTGCTCTTTAGATAGGGTGTTCAAAAATTCTGTTACCAAGGCTTGTTGTTACCAAGGCTAGCATGCCCCTAGCACTTTGTCTCAAAGACCTATAA